AACGCTCATATTATGTAATGGCTAAGGCAATTTATTCAGATGTGTTCCGCAAGATATGGACGCGTCTGAGAGGGATAAATCGCGCGATGCAAACGCGCGAGCAGTAGCCGGTACGTTCTTGGCCGGTTTGAAGACGAAGAACGATGAGAAACGAATTAAAACTGCCAAAGATTTATTCAAGTAAGTCATTTTAACGATCTTGCCTACAAATCTCACCAAATTATGGCGCGCGCTTACGGGTGTGCGTCGCTGGGATGGAAAGCGACTTCATAGCTTTTTGCAGCGCGGTGCTTTTTCGTTGCGGGAACCCCAGGTCCACTCATGGTCAGGGGTTAGCGTGAGGTTCCCGCTGTTGAAGGTTTCAACGAAAAGCGAATTGGTCGCAAAGTCGGGCACCTAGATGCCCGTGAAAGCGGACGAGATATCGGGCTCTACTCCTTTAGGCAGGTGTCAGACTTTACGTCCAGTCGCTTGCGAATCGCGCGATTGCCACTTTGTCCATCACGATAGCATCTAGAGATATTCGGAAATGTTCCATCCTAAATGGTGAATTGGGCGGAAGTGGTGTAGTGGCAAGTGGCACGCTTACCACGCGAGCGGTCCGGGGATCAAATCCTGGGTCGTGAGTCGCCCGGGCCAACCAAGCCTTCCATCCCTCCGGGGTCGGTTAATTGGTACCAGACTTGTCTGGGAGGATAAAAACACTGACTTGTACATCGGCTGGCCCCCGCAAGTCATTGTATAGGCCACATCGCATTCAAACGCCACTACGAATGTACGTAGAATGCGTGCCGCATCCCAAAAGGGATTGATCAACGGCAAATGCTTTATCCTTTATCCTTTAAATGGTGAATTATTGTAGGTTTGTGGCTGGTGAACTGAAAGATGAAGCTCCTGAATATATGCAGGAGTTCATATCGTTTCTTGACACTAAAAGTGACCAGGTAATTTATTTAGGAGAATTTAATTTAGATATTTATTTTGTTCCATTCAGTCGTTAAAAGTGTATATATTTATTTCTTTGCTGTGTTTTGCAGAGCATTATCCTTTTTCTAGCCTTCATGTTTCTTTGACTTCTTAAGGAAAATAGTGGAAGACATTTTCAGAGCGCTGTCCATGAATGTATTTATAGTCCCGATCTGGACGAGAAGAAAGCTGGGATTTTTCTTATAGGTATGCTATTAAGATAAATGTTTATTCCCTGCACCAGTTTTTTTGGCCGCTCCATCACTGCTTCCTATCGATTGTTTTGACGTTGGAAGAAAGCCGAGCCCCTAGTGGTGGTTGTTGTGGATTTTCGAGAAAACACACTGGCTCTTCTCAAGAGGAGAACAGATGCCTAGGTTAAAGACTCCCTTGATAGGATGGATGTGGCGTATAAAGCAACAGTAAAGCAGCTAGTGTTCACAAACAGAAAGGGGGTATCGCTGGAGTATGATTCAAACAGGTTGAGGGAGGCATAGCTGTGAGACCTGTCGCTTACATGATTATGAATATTTGTTTGAAATTCGTTCTTTCAGTATGCCTAGCTGAGACATCTATCGATGGTGAGTCGAATCGTGTAGTGCGATTCGCTAATTTCCTGTTAAAGGTGCTAACGATGCCCAATATGGATGAAGCAGGAATGGAACTGGCTGCTAGAGCTCTCGCTTTCTTGATTCAGGTGACTCATCCAATTTAATTGTTTGTAATAACTATTCAACCAGGGCGGAGGTGGAGAAATGGCAAGTGGCGCCGCTTACCACGCGGGCGGTTCAGGGATTGAATCCTGGTTCGTGCGCGTCGTCCCGGCCAACAAACCTGGTGCCGGCTTTAGTTGGGGCGGGGGGCACGCGGTCGCGCGGCAGTCTGCTCGTCTGCATGTCGAAATCCGTGGGCCAGGGGAGTTGCAGCTGTAGACGTTGCTTTACCTTTTTTATCCTTATCCTGGCTATGCATCAGTACTCGCGGTTTTCATGATGCCAAATTGGCTGCATGATGTTGGGGTATTCTGTTTATTGATTTATTTATGATAGAGCTATTCATACCATGGTTACAAAGTGAGTCTTACGTAATCGTTTTCATTTTCATGATCTGACTTTCGCTTGAAATCGAAATGTTCGATCCTTTCTTGGACCTCTTTAGCTAATTCAGCTGTTGTACGCTGTTCTGACTTTAAACGAGATCAACAGTTTGCGATCCAGTAGTACTAACTAGCTAGCTATCTTCTGGAGAGCTAATTTCCTGGGTTTAGAGATATAATAAACTCATGTGTTCCCTCAATACACCATAAAGTCCTATATTCAGACATCGAAATCATATGCCGCAGAGTTGGTCGAGAAATGTCTTGATCAGTGCTTAGAATGGCTGGAGGCAAGTGATTTGATAGTATTGCAAGGGTTGCAATGAGCAATATTTGCTGTTAAGGAACCAGTACGGAATGAGCAGCGACGTTTAGCATCAGTACTTGCTCGCCAGAGAGCTTGCTATGTTCACATCGACGTCGTTTTTCCTTCGTGCCAATGTGTCTTCAAAGTATCTTCACAGTGCTCAGGGACCCGAAGGTAAATTTAATGTATTGCTGGAAACTCAATGCCTTGGAACCACGCGCTTGGAGCCGCTCTGAATCCCTCGATACGGGTCTGGGAGCTTGGCTCAAAAAGCTGGGAGGAAGAGTAGTCCGTAAGAATAACTTACGTCTTCAGTACATATGGTCGTATTCTTATCACTGCGGTGCCATCTTTTGTTCCTCAAACCAATATCGCTTTTTTTGAGCTGAGTTTTTTATTGGGTGATCAAATACTATTAGATTGTGTGAAGATTTTCAGCCACAAATTCGGATAGCATCTATCAACGCCCTTCATGCCGCCCTGACCATAACATCAGCTCGAGAAGCAAAGCTCAAAACAGAATGGTACACGGTGCGTTTAGTTTCTACGTTTGGTAGAAGAATGTTCCTCAAAGGGAAGTGAAAATAGTCAGTAGTGATTCGAGTTCACTCCCTTTCCGGATCGCGCGACCTAGCTCCCCCACTTTCTTCATGATTTGGGATGCGGCCGAGCTCCCAGAGGCGCACGCATAGTCGGTCGGACGACAGCAACGATCGCAACTGTCGCACAGCATTGGATGCTTATCGATCGTTGGACTTGCCTGAGTATTCGACGATTAGATGCAGTTAGACAGTCAGAGGGCCGGACGCATAGTCGGTCGGACGACAGCAACGACTGCAAACTGTCGCACAGCATTGGATGCGTATCGATCGTCGGACTTGCCTGAGTATTCGACGATTAGATGCAGTCAGACAGTCAGACAGTTGCGACCGTTGCTGTCGGACGACCGCCGGACGCATAGTCGGTCGGACGACAGCAACGACTGCAAGTGTCGCACAGTATTGGGTGCGTATCGATCTGCGGCACTTGCAGTCGTTGCTGTCGTCCGACTGCTGCTGTCGGACGACAGCAACGACTGCAAGATCAATACGCAGCTACTATTCCACACTACAGTGGGACTTTCGAAATACGATCACGCGCAGTCACGTGTTGTCTGGGTTTGCATTGGGTGACCGCGTCGCCTTCCATTTGCGACCGCGGTTTATGCGACACCTGCAGTCGTTGCTGTCGTCCGACAGCAGCAGTCGTTGCTGTCGTCCGACCGACTATGCGTCCGGCCGACGACTATGCGTGGCGCCGGGTTACGGACTACTTGATTTTTCCTCAATGGTCCTGCCGCGATGGCTAGAGCACAGACGATTAGAGAACGGGTGAATGCCCTAGGACTAAGCCTTGGAGAGGAGAGGGACCCGCTAGAGAGCGCAGAGGCGGTTTAAAGGGCTGAGTTCAAGTAGTCCGTCAACCGCCCGCGAACTGTGCGGGTAAATTTGAAAACGCAACACCACTATAGTTCGCGGGCACTGTAGGCGCATGCATAGTCGGTCGTCCGACAGCAACGATCGTAACTGTCGCACAGCATTCGATGCGTATCGATCGTCAGACTTGCCTGAGTATTCGACGTTACATCACGTATCGTTACGTCGGACGACCGACTATGCATGCGCCCTGTGGACTCGGTCGTGCCCCAAATCGTGTAGAAAGTGGGGGAGCGACCTTAGTCATGCACACCCAGAACGAGAGTCATGTCGAATAATTGATGTTGTTGTATTCCTTTGATTCTTCCGTTGCACTCTGGCACAGTTAGATCGCTTCAGCCTGCAGGCATTGATGGCGGTTTTTGGGTTTTGTTTCATTTTTGTCAACAATTCATGAGCTCCGGTTACAGAAGTGTTACGCTGAAGCACTCAATACCATGAAAGTCAGCGAACTCTCCAAGGATGACCGCACTCATTCTATGCTTTTGGTCAGTTCCGAAATCTAAGAGTGTAATGTAATACTTGTAGCATAACTTTATACTGATACTAGGTCATTATTTAATCTGATTTGATTTCATTATTTTTCCTGAAATAGAAGTTATTGATATAATGTATGAGGCGAACCTATTCACACGTATTTGACAGATTTCAAATCACGAAAGCTAATCAAGTATATGAGTTCTAGTTTTCCTCCTTAAGGTTATAAATGAGTTGGTTCGAATTGCTGATGCAACATTTGAGCGAACGCGGCTGGAAGCACTCGATATCCATCAAACGGAGACGTCAATTGCTGCACCAATTGAATGGTTAACACAGCCGAGGTGAAATGTTTTTGTATCGAAATGAGTTCTTTTATGCTAGTAACCCTTTTTTTGAAATTAATTTCTGAACCTACGTTCCATTCTGGAACGTAGGTAAATTTGTGGTTTGACGTGTTTATTGGTTTGTGGAGACCGGCTCATGTACAACTCAACGTTTTTTCCCATCATGAGATTTTTAACAATTAAGCGACCTGGTGCGGTGGAAGGCTTGATTTCTCTGAAATGAAATTTGGCATGGTATGACCACTTATGAATCCGTGTGCTAGCGCTGTCACTCGTTGGGCATTTGACTGACTACACATTTGGCGACACTCGCTTTGCGAGCAGCTCCTAGCGTTTCGAAAAGTTCGAATATTGGGGCCAGCGACTGAAGTGATTACTTCGCATCGCAGGGTTCGCTGGCGCTTTGCTGGAACCATTATCGATCTTACTATTGTATTTGGACCGTCCTTTCTTCGCCACAGTTTTTTTTGTAGGCGCGAATTAATCCCCATCCCCTGTATATAAAATTTCTAATTTCCTGTTTTCTTTTTGAACTTACAAGCTCATGTTTGTTCTTCAGGGTAGCCAGTACCGTAGAAAGCAGCACAGCTCGGGCTCTTGTCTTAGCTAATTTTGCTGAGGTAAGTGTGTATGGTCGTTCCCACTTAACACTTCCCTAGTCCAAGTAAATTTTATGCTGCCAGAGTTACATCAATGCATTTGTGATCGGTCACTGTCAGATTGCTGCTTGTGCCGTGCTGTGCTATCTCCTACTCCCATGGCAGGGTCAATCGCCCGTTGTTCCAATTCGGAGAATTCGAACACTTCTAAGAGAAAGTTCGGTACGACCCTCCTCATTCCTATGGCCGATGTCAGACTCTGCGATTGGAGCGATCGGTCAAATGCCAATCGCGCGACCATCGCGCGATTCGCGCGACGATCGCGCGATTGACATGAGTCCCATCATGACCAATCGCTCCAATCGCGCGATGGGCGCGATCACTCCCGTTGTGGCAGGGCGCGCCCACTCGATCGATGCCTCAGTCAACGTATCGATCGAGGGGGGCGCGCCAGCCACAACGGGAGTGATCGCGCCCATCGCGCGATTGGAGCGATTGGTCATGATGGGACTCATGTCAATCGCGCGATCGTCGCGCGAATCGCGCGATGGTCGCGCGATTGGCATTTGACCGATCGCTCCAATCGCAGACTCTGACATCGGCCAATCCCGGGGACACCAGCCTCGCAACCGATCACCAAGGTTGTTTACGAAATAGTATTTCTAGGTTTGGAAGACCAACTCCGCCAGCTTCCCCATCGAAACGGTCGTCGAGCGGGGGATTGGAGGGAGAGAGTAACTTCGTCTCACGGAGATTCTTCTGACACTTTACGATCTTTTTTCAAATTTTCCTCAAATTTCTGGAAAATAATCGTGCGAACCTCCCCTCTACCGCCATCACTCCATACAACCGTCTTGGGGGAAAACGCAGCGGACGGCCGACCTCGCCCCATGGGGGCGCTCCCTTTCATCGATGCTATTCCCCCTCTGCCCAGGGGAGGGGAGACGGGGACTCGCCATGGCTCACCATTGACCGGTTGGGTGCTGTATCGACCATCTGCGTTGGAGCACTGTACCTTCGTGAGCGTAGATGTAACTGTCTTGGAGGTAGAAACCCAGAGTGCGGTGAATGCTGTCACGCAACTCGGTCTGTGTCAAGCTAAAGGCAGCATCAAGGGAGGAGGACGCGTCTCCCTAGGGTAAGGATAGCATACAGCCCTTGGTATTCGTACAGCAGCCGCTATTTGAATCCCATCTATGGTGGTAAGCCCGATATGTTCAACTGCGTTACGATCGTGATATGGGACGTAAATTGGTAGTGAAATATCTGCAGGTGTAGGGTTCTGAAGATCGATACTACAAGGCATGCTTGCCTGTTGCATCTCCTAATAGAGCCCTATTAGCCTCTCCAACACTTTTCATTTCAGATTTGTGGTCATGCAAAAGCGGCAGCGTTTAGTTGCAATCGGTCGGTTCCAGTACATCAGACTTTGCTTGAACTCTTTCCTCGTTTATCAGCTTGGGATCAATGTGACCCAGCACTGTGCAAGGTCATGTTCGAGCATGCAAAAAATATGTAAGTTTTCCCAGTTATATTAAAATTATTTGTTAACGATAGGTGATTGTCGCTTGCAGTTCTTATGCAATGTTTCAATCTTGCCCATTAATAATTTAGAGTCCAGAAGAATGGCAATGCGCTCGTGGCTCTCGGTTTGTTGATGCTTCAAAACCCAGAGCGATTCAGAGGTAATATTGGGCAAATGATGATGGTGGTAACAGACATGCTGAACACTGCTGTTTCCAAGTGAGCAATTCCGAGCTATTTCCTTCTGCTCCCACTTTAGATCTCCAAAATACACTCACACGCTGAGTAACTAGTGCTTTGAGCGAGCCATTAGAATGTGGTCTTTATGCGTGTTGTTCAAACCGTTCCCAATCCTTGTTCAGTAGACGTTCTTCTCTGACCAGGAAGGTCTTTCAGGGCGTGACAAGCTTTTTGAAAACGGTCTTTTGCATGATATAGGGGCAGATGCGGGAACCACAGAACCATGTTCAATTTTTCCTGAACGGCCCTCTGAATACC